ACGTGCATCCAGAGGCAGGCATCACACACACACACACACACACACACACACACACACACTAACAATAGCTGGGTTGATGGAGATCCCTGCATTCTGCAGTGCTGCCATGGATGCACTGGCTTCAGAGACCCGGGGTGCAGCAGGAACGGTGGAGGAAGCAACAGCCACCTGCGTGGCAGCCTGTGTGGTCTGCGGCTGCTGCAGCGCCGCCTGCACCGGCTGCAGGGCCGCCGCTCCCGCCTGGGGCTGCAGTACTGTCTGCGCAGCTGTGTGAAGCTGCGGCTGGACTGTGTTCAGTACAGTGGCAGCTGGGAAGGGAGAAGCACACTAACATAGCATCAAAGCCTCCCGCGGCGGTCTCCAAGGAGACAGCAAAGCAGTAACAAGCAGCTCTGTCTGTCTTTGATGTAGCAGCCTATTATCAACTTGGTGCATCCGGAGCTGAGAATTTTTAAATTATTATTACACACAAAAGGATAAACCCACAGAAAAATATATCCTGTGTAAAACAGAGGATGAAAGACCTTAAAGCAAGAGGCAAAGCACAAGGTGCGGAGGTCTATGCAGGCTGGTGGGGAACGGGGCAGGCAGTCTCACCCTGCAGACCAGCTAAGGGCAGCTTGAGGACGCCGCCCGCTGGGGTGGCCGCCGTCAGCCCAGGGAGGGTGGTCACAGTGGCCGTGGGGAAGGTGAGCACGGCTAGACCGCCCTGGCTGCCCACGGAGCCCGCCACACTAATGGGGATTAGCAGGGGCTGGCCCAGAGAGCCGGGCTGATGGGCCACCACCCCCGTCATCAGGGTGGCCAGGCTATCCTGGGTCAGCATCTGTGAACGCAGACGGAACAGGAGCCGCAAATCAGCTACGTGTCTCGGTGAACGTTACGGGGAGGAGGTCAGGAGCCGTGTGCAGAGGGGGCCTCACCGGAGGGCAGGTCTGGACGGTGACGGGCACGGCGGCCTGGGGCTGCGACAGGGGCATGCTGAGGGGACCCGAATGGACTGGGGTCTGGACCGTCGGGACTGCCACTTCCACAGATGGGCCTCCGTCACCCAACACTGACCAACAGGGGACATCAAGGCTAGGTCACCTGCATCCGGGCAATACTTCAACAATCCCGACGATTATGTGCCAGGAGTTTAACTGCGGGCATCAGTGATGTTGTGGGGTCTGCGGCCAGCCTACTGCCTTAAATACTCCACACTGCTCAGCAGCTTGTGCATGTCGTGCATCTCATTGTGGGGGAGTGCTTGTGCATACTTCGACGTGTTTCTTTGGCTTGGGGTCACTGGTGGGATTGTGCCAGTCGTCGTCAGGCTAACCGTAAATCAGGGTAGAGGGGGGTGATGATGAAGTGGATGGAGGCTGTGAACAGCTAACGTGAGATCTACAAGGTTTGTGTGTGACCTATGACTGTGGACTGGAGCCAGTTCTTATATAACCCTTTCAAACATCCATTTTGATGTCATGAACGTGCTAAATAAGGCAGAAACAAGCAGTTTAACACCAGCAAGAAATCAACCTAAAAACCACACATGCAGATGCACTGGTGGTAATCAGAGTACTTTTGCATTCACAAATCCCAATCTTTGTCAAAACATTTCAAGTCAGTTATGATTAACTCTATGCATAACAGTCAGGTCCCTGAAATTCCTGTAGATTAAGGATGATGTATTTTTGCCTTAATTACTTTTGGGACTTGAAATCAAGATAAAAGCAATTGTGAGCTTTGCCAGCTACCATAAATCGCAGTTGGCAGTGCATTGTGGGAAACTGAGTCCGACAGTCGCACAAGCATGTGTATGATGGCAGCAAGCCCTGTCGTCCAGTTATGTATTTTGTTCTAATAAAGTGCAGTAAAGGTGCCCGCCGACTCAATATTCATCTTCGTCATTACAAAAGATATAACACAACCTGTGTGTACTAATAAAAAGTCGCCAGGATCAGCTATAAGATTTGTTAAGGGGGCTAACAAGACTCACCTGCTCCCCCAGTACTACAGGGTGGTACAGTGCCATCCTGAACTCCCACCTCCACTGCTTCCAAAGCCAGCCGGCCCGCCCCGTCAGCCCCCGCGTCCACCTTCGTGCCGGGGCCAGAGGTCGGAAGGGCCGCGTCCACCTCCACCTCCAAGACGCGTATCGTCTCATGGCCGGACATCACTATCACCTACACGGGTCAGAGAGGGCACCATGAAGAGGACTGTTAATCAAATGAAGGCCTTTCATCGCAGACTAGCTGCACTTCCCTCTGCGTTTCTGCGCCCAAATCACTAGGCACTCCCCACCCTGCCTGACGCACTTATGCCTGGTGATATCTGCATGGTTCTCTCACTTCAGCTCCTCATATTATGACAACTGTATCCATCAATGAACTACTTCTACATGACTCGCCCCCCCCCCCACCAAACCCCCCCCAAAAAAAAAAAAAAAAAAAAGCAGAGAGATGAAAGAATGAGGGGGAAAAAAAACAAAGGAAGACAAAAATCCTGAGGCAGAAAGCATGAGAGAAAGACAAAGCATAGACAGAAATGTGCATACCTGGTTTTCTCGGGCAGGGAATTTCAAAGTGCAGGAACCTAATGTCTGGAAAAAACACCTCTGCTGTGAGACAGTGAATGGCGAGGGAGAGGCCAAGCACACATTAGCACAAGATGGCAAATGCAACAAAACAACAGGAGTCCCGTGAATACGATACAACAGCAGCGTCGGCCAACGAGCAGATCCAGCAATGCCATCTGAGAGACAAGCCGGGACAGCATTGCCCCTGCTGACACTGAGCACACAGGATGACCACGCACTCATGAAAAGCAATGCACGACCACAGAACTGCAAAAAGACTGAGGGGGGGGGGTGTTGGCAAGGATTTTCTAGACAAAATTATTAAAGGTTAATTTTTTCTAACAGAGGGAAATATGGTGGCAGGAGAAGCAACTTGTGGAGCTGAGGGGGACAGCTGCGTGACGACATTATTCCAGAAAGACGACAAGAAACTGGCAGAAGCTGAAGCGAGGTAGAGTGGAGGGGCGGAACGGGAGGCACGGCGGAACGGGAGGAATGGCGGAACGGGAGGAATGGTGGAACGGGAGGCACGGTGGAACGGGAGGCACGGCGGAACGGGAGGAATGGCGGAACGGGAGGCGCGGCGGCAGCGGTGTGCATGGCGCAGTACCTGCTCGTTCACGGTGAGGGGCGCGTCCTGAGCGCCGAGCTCCTCGGACTCCATGGTCTGTACTCACAGCTGCCGGCGGTCACTGTGCCCGCATGCTGTGCGGACGACATGGCCAGCGGGGCGGCGTTAGCACCAGGACCCCATGCCCAAGCACATGCACTGAACACAAGGCACAATCTACCAGCCTTTCTACGTGAATGCGGGCACTCAAATGGTAATCAATCAATTTATCAACTACCTACTTATATGGAATGACTACTGCTTACTGACCCAAACCTACTGGAGAGTGGGGCCCCAACACCGATCACAACCAGTTATTTTGTATGAATTTACACCAGAAATGGAAGTCAGGTTTGCATAAGTAACAACTTTAAAGTGCTTTACAAAGTATTGATGTCTAGCACTGATGTCTGCAGTTCTCACTAATATAGTGATAACGTCACAAAATATTAAGATGCTACGAATATTAATAAAAAATAAAACTATAAACATCTGTACACTCAAGACAAAATACCAAATGGTTATAGACCCGTGCCTATTCAACACGACTGATGATGATTGTGCTACTTCAGAAACCATGGCTATCTTGCAAAACATTAAGATGTTATTAGAAAATATAACAATATTTCGATTTTCCTGTCATCCTGCGTTGCAAATTCAAATCTAGAATGGCACTGCTTGGGGAAAAAAATAACCAAACACGTTTCAAAATTTGCAACCCAAAACTAACTCCCTCACGAAAGCCTTTTTTATTGTATACCTCGCTACGGCTATTTGAATGTCTTCCTCGTATCAATTTGGCAACCTGATTCTTGTGGAGGGGGGGGTCTCATCTGTTTTAATATGCATAAGCTTACATAACGCGCACAAATACAATAAGAGTCGTTCATGAATTATGTAGCTAAGAGCCGGCTTTAGGTGGGTCAGGGTCCGTGCGGGGGAAGCCGGGCAAAGCGACGCTTGCAGCCGGGCTGCGGAGACTCCGGGCGCCGCGCGGCGAACTGCGCAAACTGCGCTGGCTGCGCCTGTCCACCCCGGCTGCATCATACAGCGCGGGCGGGCGAGTGCATTTTTATTAAATATAATTGCATCTTCCCACTTATTTTTTATCTGCTGAACGCGGTGTTTGTGACGTAAAAGCTGCAGATTTGACGGTCGACATACGATTTTTAAGCGGCCTAGAAAGGGCCTTTAAAGCGTTTCGTCAGAGTACTATCTTTGCAAAATATTCCTAGCTTACAGCTCCAAGATTGCAATCTGATTGTTTAAATTACGATAAGAAAACGTGTAATGGGGCATTCTGTGCAACGCCGCGACCTCCACCCTCTCGCAAAAACACTTGATCGTCCAAACTTTGGCAGGTCCTGCCAGCCTACCCACCCCCATCCTCCATCCAATAATAATAATCTGTACGCTGGCTAATTTCAAACCGCTGCTTATCACAAACATGCAGAGACTTAACTGAGGCACTGCCACAATCCAAGGGACGGCATTTTATGTATTTCACCCGCTCTTTATCATAAATATATAAATTATGCTAATTAAGAACATTACATATTAACCAAAAACCTCTTATCTTCCTTCACCTCGCCGTCTTCAAACACACACCACTATTAACAAGAAATCGTGTATTTATAACAACTTACCAATAAAGTGTAAGGTTTTTTTGGTGATTCTCCCGCTTTCACAAGCTTTGCCACAGTTTGTTTAACAGACGAATAATTAAAAATTCATCTCACAGCTCGCAGCCCGGCGCTGTGGCAGCACACAAAAGAGGTATTTGCATTGATAAAGAGGGTCGGCAGCACGCGGAACCTCCTATCCTTAATATTCAATGACGGTCCCTTCGTTACCTGCAGCTCGGATGAACTCCAAACACCTTATAATATCCGAAAACACATCTTTCCGCAGAAAAGTCCCTCAAATTTAATACTAATTTGGCCTTTTGCACTACGTCATGAACATAATTTATGCAAGGCAAGTCTTTGCATGGAAAAAAACGTCGCCGTTCGACTGAAGGGGGAGCTATGGCGGCCTTAAAGGAAGAGCGTTTCGTTTTCAATATTCCCAGTTTCTAGCATTTAAACTTATTTGCAAATATGCTCCCTTCTTCTTCGTTCGGAGATAATTTTTAATTTACACTTTTTAATTAAAGTGATTAAATGAATTAGGTCTGTAAAATATTTTAGTCTGTATTACTTTTCTATATATACTGGTTGCGTTTATAACTGAGCCTTGGCGTGAGTGGGAGGGTTAAAGATCTGCGCGGGGAACGTTGGACAACATGCATGCATGACATGTCTAGCAAACAACATTAGTTTATCGGTGAATGGTTACAGAAACTGAAAAGGATTCATTTACTGATGCTGTCTGTATTACATGTCGTTAACCTATAAATCTTTAACCTATCTTTATATTGAGCATACCGTGTACACTTTTATTTAATTGTTTTTTTACACTATACTGGTTCTGGTGCAGCTTTTATTATTTATTGTTTACTACTAGATTTTGTCTTATCTTTATTCTACTTTTAGGTAATTTATTGTCATTAGTAGCATTGAGTGCGGAAACTGCAATCTGAATCTTGTTGTATTTATGCAGTGACAATAAAGATATTCTGTTCTACCTCTGATTGTAAAACTGTGCAGGTAGTGAATATGTAACTCTCTTACTCCAAAGAAACAGTTTTGCTAGATTATAACATTCACAAGTGAGAAAATACGTAACAAGCATGTAGTTATGTGAATTTTATAAAAGTGTGAGATCCAACCCCCCTGGCCACAATCTGTTTTCTCCCCTGAAGTCTGGTAGGATGTTTTGTAGCATCAAAAAGTTGACCACTAGATTCAAGTTTCCCATCCCCAAGTGGTCCATATCATCAATAGTCGAATCTGGAATACTGAAATATTACTTGCACCTACACTGTTATGTGGATTGCAGTGTTTCTTTGTATACATTGTTCTTTGCAATAGGTGTGGCTGAGTATGTATGAATTCCAGTGAACCTGTTGCACATGGCCAATAAAACATCGTGAACTGAACTGTCCTGTTAAAACCACAACTACTTTTAAACTTGGCTTTATGTTTTCATAGCTGAACCTCAAGATGTCCTAAACTCAAGAAGAATGTGGAGACTGAGGCCTTATGAACATTAATGTTTTGCAGAAGAAATCACGTAAGGCCCCTTTTCGTTTTTGCTTTATCGAGTAGTAATTTCAGAATGCTCTCAGTTCTGCTACAAAAATGTCTGTATCACAGCAGGTTGGTATACATATTACACCACATAATTTTATAATACAACTGCTTTCTTTATGTGTCATATTTTAAACCACATACAGTAGCGTACTGGAAAACATCACTGTTTGCATGCATTAGTAGAACATGACATTGGAGCACATTGCCAGATTTGGGATTCCAGAATAGTGCTGAATCTTTAGCTTCACATTTCAGCACAGAAAATGTATCTGTTTCACACACACCCATGCAATACACATCAATATTCATAGGTCTGACATATTCTTATTTAGAGAGGTGGACTATATTTTTCCTGATATCTTTTTCTAAATTTAACATATTCAGCTAGATTTTAGATGTAAGACTTTTATTCTTGACGAACACACTGAACAAAAATGCAGATTATGCTGTATCGGAACGCAAATGCAAATACATTTTGATGTCCCCAAAAGAGGGCAGCAAAAACATGACACCAGTGAATGAGATTTTAATTAATTAATTTATTTATTCTGTGATAAGTTTTATTTCAACTTTGTTAATAATAACATTCCACGAACATAACCGGTTCAGTTGCAGTGGAAACAAAGTCTCGCTTGGCTCTAGTACCAGTCAGGGTAAAATGAGATACAAAGTACATACTTCCAAATAATATTCAACCAAATTACGATCATGCCAGTATTAGCCAAATTTAGACTATCCAGTAAGTTTAGATTCGTTAGCAGCCTTTAAAATGCGAGAGAAAACGCGTTCAAATGTCTATTTATTTGTGGTTTCGTCATAAATACAACAACATGAACTGCATCGCCAGCTGCCCACGGTCTCAGTCAGAGAAGCTTCTCGGTACAGCAGGCAGATTCGCCCTAGAGAAACCGGAAGTAGATCAGCGGCTTGTAAATCCATTTCCGGTCATATGCCACGGCGAAGAATGAGAATGGATGGAAAGGGAGTTGTTTCCATGCCTTGTTAACCTTGCGAATATTGTGAAATTAAATGTTTATATTATTTAACCGTTTGGACATGTACTGTAATAACACATACATGAATGTAAGTGTAAAAAAGTAAAAAAGGCATAAGGCTCTGAAATTTTACTTGTGCAACACCTCTGGATACAAAAGTTAAGATAATAATCTTTAAAAGGAGAACATAATACAAAGCCTCAGATTATCAGTAATTCACAGTACAGCTTCAGTTCACCTGTTGTCATTTTTATCTAAATTTAGTAGCCGCGCTTTCTGTGGGAGTTTAGTGTTATTATAGGTTTGATCTTTGAATTTGGTTTTTACTTTATTTCCAATTTTTATTAAAATTCCAGTATAGATGCAGTTAGTTTTCAGTGTGGTTTTGTTAGTTTTTATTTCAAAGATATAGCCTATTAATATTTAGATTTAATCTATTTTCAGTTTAAGTTTTAGTAACTGATCACTAAGTCATAGATTAAAAGTTAAAGCTAGCTATTTTAAGTGCCTGATCTTTGGATAACCTGCATTAATACAGAGTGCACATTACGTACTAATGTCCTCAAAATATGCAAAACGTTCCAAAAGTATCATCAATGGTATTTAAAGATAAACAAATCATTACTTTAGCTAAATAGTATTAAAAACGGTAACAAATTATTTGACATTTCCAGTAGTTTCAGAAGCAATATTGAGAATTCTCATTTAGTTGTAATTTAAATTTTATTTTCGTATCTTATTTTATTTGAGTTCACAAAATGTTTCCTTGCAGTTTTCGTTAACGATAATATTCCTGCTGCATATAAACGTGTTGACTCGATTGGACCTTAAACTTCAATCTTTTATGTCTCAAAATGCCATGCGTCCGTATTCCTTTAGATTGGAGGCCTTCGAAGGGAAGAACACATGGTTTTGTTTTGACAAAGAAGGCTTAGGCTCGCTACAAAATCTGCTACAAAGTCTCTGACCTCCGCCACTGCTGCTGCCGCTGTATTTGCAGGAGGGAAGTACACATTATTATCTACATCCGGCTGAATGAAAGAAAGTGTCAGTGTGGTGCTGCTGGCTACTGTGAGTGACATGTAGCATAAACTCTGCTCACAGTAGTTCTATACAATGAACATTTTTACCCATAAATGAATTTACAAAAATAAATAGTTGCTCTGATGTTTTTGTAAGTGGAGTGCATTGGCAAACATGTGGAAACATATCAGAGGACAATTGTTGGTGCATGTCTCGCGGGCGCATCTATGACTATATATATATATATATACATATATATATAGTTCTCAATACTATTATTAACTGAAAGATTCATCCTTGTTATTGCAGTTTCATATTGTGTAATTTTGTGTAAAATGTTAAGTTAAAATGATATTTCTTTTCCCTTTGTGAAGCAATATACTCAGGTTTGCCTATATTTTGATTAGACTGTTCCACTCTACTATATTGACTTCCTGTCATGTCAGCACAAGCAGGCGGAGCACAAACACCAAACGCGCTCAGAGATCCGAGAAACACCAACTGTTTGTTTTTTTTAAACTTACTGAAAACAAATTATTCTTAAAATATTTGTACAAAATAAATACTGCTAAAGACCCACTCTTTGCGCTTTGCGCACACTGTAATCGGATTCGGCTCCATCCCATTATGCACTAGTTGTTTGTCTAATCGGTGACATTCTCTTACTCCTCTCCTTTCTCACATCTTGGTTATTTACTCACCAGGGAGTTCCACCGCTACTTTCCCTTTTCTAATAGATTTATTGCCATTTCTATTAGTTTTCGATTGATTCCAGGTCGTCCTCTAATCAGCTCATGAACGACTTCAAGGATGCGATAACATATTACGAGTGTCTCTTTTTTCAAGATTTAACAAATTACTTAATCCATATGCTTTTCACTTCATAATAAGAATACATGTATAAGTCATGGATCTCTAGGCTTCTAGCCAAGCTCTCATAAATACATTTTCTTTCTCACAGGGAGTTCCCTCCCTGTGGACCGACTACTTGCATAATTTATATATTCATTTATAAAATAGCCATAGTCATTCCTCTGGCCTTCCTAGATGTATCTTATACTCATCAAAGAAACAAACTAGCCTCGACAAAGTACAGATCATGATCCCTTAGTCCCTGTTTCAAAATTTCCCAGGTTTGGGGTCCAATTCTGTTTGTCTTCCTAGATCCCTCTGTTAACCACAGGACAAACCTGTCACCCACAGTCCTTATCCCATGTAATGCAAGCACTGGTTATATCTGACAGATACAATTGTCCCCCCCTTTGATCATGACATGATCACCACCTTACTAAGGACCCACGTTGATATTTATTTAATAAATTTCATTATTTTCTTGTATATGTCGAATAGTCAGTAAAAGAAAGCTTTGGAAAGGCTGAAGGCATGGACCATAAGATCTAATGTATGATGAATGATATTCTCTGAAATGGTATAAGGATACAACAGATTCCTCCGCTTCACTTTTGGGCAGCACACACACACTTCCGTGCTTAGCTAAAATCTAAAGTCTAATGCTGAACTGTCGCAGCTCTGTCATTTGAGATTTATGGACTGCTGTACTTCTTCAGACAGTTTAGCACCTGTTCAGGAGTGGGGTTGAGCAGGGCTTTATTTCAGGTCTGAGGCATTCAGAAGGGTGGTCTGCTTGGCGCATTCCCACTGCCCCTGATTGGAGATCCTGGAGTGGTCCTGCAAAGCCTGTTAGAGACGACCTAAGGTGTCAGCCACTGTTTCCTTCAGCTCCTGTTTTACACCCTGAATCTTCTGCCAGTCCACATGGAATGGAAACACGGCCTTCAGTGAATCCTGTAAAGCCTGCCAGTTGGTTGATACAGTGAATCTGACTGCTCCAAGGCTTCACACTGCCCCGCTGGATGGGGTCAGGCAGGGCCAGTGCCACCGCTTGCACCTTTAGTACGTGCCAGTTCCTTTGGACCTTGACAGCTTCAGGTTGCCCGGCCTGTCCTCGCCGTGGGGTGGGTTGGGCATCTCCACCAAAGGCTTTTGGAGATAGATGTTGGGAGGGATCTGGTTTCTGTTATGCCCACCTACATGTGGTTGTAGATGCAGCTTTGCACGCTCTGCCACAGTAGCACTGTGTGATCTCTCCTCCGCTCTCTGCAGCTGCTCCATTCCTATCTGCACTGTGCTAGCGGTCTCATATTTCTCCTGGATCTCCTGGCTGCAGTCCACCTTGGACAGTGGCCAAGGCCTGTTGTGCTGGAACATAAGGCGATGGTGCTAGAGAGGGAGGGACTGATGATAGAAGCACACTGTCACTATCTAGCTGTTCTTCTTTTTTTCCTCACCACAGCTTCTCCTGTTTCTACCTTATTATTATTACCTAACAGCAAAGATGTAGGTTTGGTATAAACATTGGTAGGGAGCAAATCAACCCCCACAGTATTTGTAGGAACATGTTCATACTTAAATTTATGTTCATGCTCAACAGCATCTGCCTGGCATCGGCATGCGTTCCATCTGACTTTGCTTTTTATGATCTTACGATGAACAACTGGTGGAGGCAGCATGTGACCAGTGGGCTAAGCCTCCGTGCTTGTGATCAGAAGGTTGCTGGTTCAAACCCAGCCTTGGCATGTCTGTGGATCCTTGAGCAAGGCCCTTAATCCCCAGCACCCTGGGTGTTGTACCAGGAGGCTGTTCTTCACAAACAGCTTGCTCTCACCTACAGAAAGCAAGCTGAGGGAGGCATGGGGATCAATAAAGTATCTATAATTATTATCAAGAATCTGTCACAGAAAAATAATAGGAATACAAAACAGGTGAGTTTATGTTATTTGTTCCTTTATTCTTGTCCAAGGAT